CATCCCATCCATCCCCATCCCATCCAATCCCCACCCCACCCCATCCCACCCCATGCCCCACACCTCTGCATTTCCTGCACCCACTGCAGCTCCTCCGCTGTCGACTCTTCTCCCCCATCACCGCTTCCACTCTGCAGAGATAAGCGCAGCGCCGCAGTGGGTCGGGGCTGCGTTGGGGCTGCACTGGGGTTGCACTGGGGCCGCATTGGAGCCCCATTGGGGCTGCACTGGGGCCGCTCTGCACCGCTCAGAACTGCACTGGGGCAGCCCCACACCCAGCTGTGGGTCCCGGCGCTGCGCCCCCCGCACCGCCCCATGCAGCGTCACAGGGCTGCAGGGCTGCAGTCCCCTGGGGTGGCTCCATTGCTGCAACCATCACCGCTGCAACAGCGCTGGCTGCAGCTGCAGGCGTGATGGGGCCCACATGGGGCGCAATGAGGCACAATGGGGCCCACATGGGGGGCAATCGGGTACAATGGGCACAATTGGGCACATGAGGCACAATGGGGCGCAGTGGGGCACATGGGGCGCAATGGGGCACAATGGGGCCCACGTGGGGCACAATGGGGCACAATGGAGCTCACATGGGGGGCAATGGGACACAATGGGGGGCAATGGGGGGCAATCGGGCACAATGGGGCACAATTGGGCACATGGGGCACAATGGGACCCACATGGGGTGCAATGGGGCACAGTGGGGGGCAATGGGGGGCAATCGGGCACAATGGGGCACAATTGGTCACATGGGGCACAATGGGGCCCACATGGGTGCAATGGGACAGAATGGAGCACAATGGGGCCCACGTGGGTGCAATGGGACAGAATGGAGCACAATGGGGCCCACATGGGGGGCAATGGGGCGCAATGGGGCCCACATGGGTCTCACATGCAGTGCAGCAACTGCTGCAGTGAGGAGCACAGAGCTGCAGCGTGGGGCCCCATGGTGACACCTGCCCCACGGCAGCCCCATGGCAGCACTGGTTCCACCGCAGCGCCTTCCCCATGGCTGCCCCAGCCCCATGGCAGCCCCCCATCCTACAGCAGCACCCACCCCACGGCAGCATCTGCCCCACAGCAGCACCACCAGCCCCATGGCAGCACCCACCCCACCGCAGCACCAGCCCCACGGAAGCACTGGCTCCATAGCAGCACCCCATCCCACGGCAGCACCCGCCCCATGGCAGCATCAGCCCTACTGCATCACCAACCCCATGGCAGCACCTGCCCCATAGCAGCACCCCCACGCGAGTACCTGCCCCATAGCAAAACCCCACCCCATGGCAGCACCGGCCTCAAGCCAGCGCCAGCCCCACAGCAGCACCGGCTCCGTGGCAGCACCCACCCTACAGCAGCACTCACCCCATGGCAGCCCCAGCCCTATGGCAGCATTGGCCCCACAGCTGCACCGGCCCCATAGCAGCCCGTGCCCCATATCAGCACCCCACCCCTGGCAGCACCCCATGGCACCACCTGCCCCATGGCACCACCTGCCCCATGGCACCACCTGACCCACAGCAGCCCACGCCCCACAGCAGCACCAACCTCATGGCACCACCTGCCCTATGGCAGCATATGACCCACAGCTGCACCAGCCCCACAGCAGCACCCCTCCCCATGGCACCACCCTATGGCACCACCTGCCCCACAGCAGCACCCCACCCCATGGCACCACCTGCCCCACAGCAGCCCCTGCCCCACAGCGGTCCATGCCCCATATCAGCACCCCACCCTCTGGAAGCACCCCACCCCATGGCACCGTCCTATGGCACCACCTCCCCCACAGCAGCACCCCACCCCATGGCAGCACTCCATGGCACCACCTGCTCCATGGCAGCACCTGACCCACAGCACCACCCCATGGCCCCATAGCAGCACCTCATCCCCCGGCAGCACCCCATGGCATCTGCCCCACAGCATCTCCTGCCCCACAGCATCCCCTGCCCCTCAGCATCCCCTGCCCCACAGAATCCCCTGCCCCTCAGCATTCCTTCCCCTCAGCATCCCCTGCCCCACAGCATCCCCTATCCCGCAGCACACAGGGGGCACTGCCCCACATCCCATAACAGCTAATAGGGGGCACTGCCCCACATCGCCCCATAACAGCGCACAGGGGCCACTGCCCCACATCCCGCAGCACTCAGCACATGGGTGGGAGGGGGGGGGGGGGGAGTCAGTGCCCCCCGCAGCTGCCCCCATCCCCTCCCCTCCCCACAGCCCTCATCTCTGGGCCCATCCCCTCGCGCCGCCCGCACCCGTTGGGGGGTCCCACCCCCCTGCCGCCCCTCGCCCCGCATCCGTCCCGCCCCCCCGGGGGTAACAGAGCACGCGTTGCTGCCGGCTGCTTTGCAGGATCTCTTTTTTACTGCCTCCGCCGCCGTACAAACAATTCCCGTTATGGACGCGGCCGCTTTGGGCCTTTCGCCCCCTCCCCAAATCAAAGGATCCCCGGCGGAGCGGCGCGGGGCGGTGCGGGGCCGAAGCGGAACGGAGGAATGAGAGGAGCGCGGAAGGACAGACGAACGGACGGACGGCGGGCGGGCGGGCGGGTGGACGGACGGACGGATGGGTGAATGGACGGACGGACGGACGGATGGATGGATGGATGGATAGATGGATGGATGCTGCGGGTGGCGGGGGGTGGTGCGGAGCCGGGGGGGCGACCGCATCTCCGCCGTCGTCCGGGCCGCCCCCTCCCCTCCCCCCCGGCTCCGGGCGCGGCGGTGCGATGGGCGTCCAACGGCACTACGACAGAAGCGGACACAGAGATGGGATGAGACGCCCCGAGCGCAGCCGGCAGCACCGCGCCGACCCCCGCGGCCCCCAACCCTCAGCCTGGACCCCCGCACCGTCCCCGTCCCCCCCCTCCCTAAGCCCCCCCAGCCGTTACCTCCGCCGGTGCCGCCCCCGCTCCGCTCCACGGCCGCCGCACGGCCGCCATCCAGCCGAGGATCGCCGTGCGGCTGCGAAGCGACGTCTGCCGGAGAGAGAGCGAGCGTCGGGCGGGCCGGCAGCGCCGCACAGCACCGCACAGCACCGCACAGCACGGCAACTCACAGCACCGCACCGCAACTCGCAGCACAGCACCACAACTCACAGCACAGCACCGCAACTCACAGCACCGCACCGCACAGCACCGCACAGCACCGCACAGCACCGCAACACACAGCACCGCACAGCACCGCACAGCACCGCAAATCACAGCACAGCGCCTCAACGCACAGCACCGCACAGCACCGCACAGCACCGCACAGCACCGCACAGCATCACACCACACAGCACCACACAGCACTGCACTGCACTGCACCGCAACTCACAGCACCGCAACACACCGCTCCGCACAGCACCACACAGCACCGCACAGCACCGCGCTGCACCGTACAGCACCGCACAGCACCGCACAGCACCGCACCGCAACTCACAGCACAGCACCGCAACTCACCGCACAGCACCGCACAGCCCCGCTCCGCACCGCACCACCCCACGGCCGATCCGCCCCGCTCCGCCCCGCACCGCGGCCGATTTGCGCCGCCCGCCCCGTCCCGCTCCGCTCCGCACCTCCCCGCAAAGCACCGCCCCGCACCGCCCCGCACCGCGGCCGATCCGCTCCGTCCCGCGGCCCCGCGCAGCTCCGTGTGCGGCACAGCGGCGCTGCGGGACCGAAGCATTTTCCCGGGGTCGGCCGGCCGGACAGACGCACAGGCGGACAGACGGCCGGACACACAGAGCGGCGGAGGCGGCGTCGGGGCCGCGCCGGAGGATGCGGAGGGGGCGGGAGATGTGCGGGGAACGGACGGACTGCGGGAGAGGCGGTGCGTGGGGACATTTGGCACGGGGTGCCGTGGTGACATTCGGCACTGCTGCCGTGTGCCAGCCCGGTGCTGCCGTGTGCCAGCGCGGTGTTCTCACGGTGACATCCCAGTGTTCTCACGGTGACATTCTGGTGTTCTCATGGTGATACTCCGGTGTTCCCATGGTGACATTCTGGTGCTGCCATGGTGCCGTCCTGGTGCTGCCATGTGCCAGCACGGTGTTCCCATGGTGGCATTCTGATGCTGCCATGGTGACATTGCTGTGCTGTTGGCCATGGCGACATCCTGGTGTTCCCATGGTGACATCCTGGTGCCGCCATGTGGCATCCCGGTGTTCTCTTGGTGACATCCTGGCATTCCCATGGCGATACTCTGGTGTTCCCATGGTGACATGGTGACATTCTGGTGCTGCCATGGTGACATTGCATGGTGACATGGCCATGGTGCCGTCCCACTGCTGCCATGGTGACATCCCAATGTTCCCCTGGTGACATTCTGGTGCTGCCATGGTCCATGGTGCCATCCTGGTGCTGCCATGGTGCCATCCCAGTGCTGCCACGGTGACATTGTGATGTTCCCGTGCTGATATTCTGGTGATCCCGTGGTGACATTCTGGTACTGCTATGGTGACATTCTGGTGTTGTCATGGTGACATCCCAGTGCTCCCATGGTGACATTCAGACACAGTGCCATGGTGCCATCCTGGTGCTGCCATGGTGACATTGCTCTGCTGTTGGCCATGGTGCCATCCCACTGCTGCCAAGGTGACATTCTGGTGATCCCAAAAGTGACATTGTTCCCATAGTGACATTCTGGTGCTGCCACGGTGGCATTCTGGTACCACCATGGTCCATGGTGATGTTATGGTGCTGCCATGGTGACATTCTGATGTTGCCATGGTCCATGGTGGTGTTATGGTGCTGCCATGGTGGCATTCTGGTATTGCCGTGGTCCATGGTGATGTTATGGTGCTGCCATGGTGAGCTCCTAGTGTTCCCATGGTGAGCTCCCAGTGCTGCCATGCTGAGCTCCCGGTGTCCCGGTGGTGCTGCACTGCTCTCCCCCCATGGGGTGCAGTGAGGGGGTTTTGATCCCAAAGGTGCAGGGCGGTGAATGAAGCACACAGAGCTGAGGGTGCTGCCTGCGGGGGGGCGGTGGTGGTGGGGTGGCTTTGTGGAGTCACCGATGGCAATGGGGTCAACAATGGCACTGCAGGGTCACTGATAGCACTGTGGGGTCAACAATGGCACTGCATGGTCACCGATGGCACTGTGGGGTCACCGATGGCACTGTAGGGTCAACAATGGCACTGTGGGGGTCACTGATGGCACTGCAGGGTCACCGATGGCACTGCGGGGTCACTGATGGCACTGCAGGGTCACCGATGGCACTGCGGGGTCACTGATGGCACTGTGGAGTCACCAATGGCACTGCGGGGTCAACAATGGCACTGCGGGGTCAGGGGGAACATTGGGATGGATGGGGTCACCATTGGGATGGATGGGATGGGTGGGATCAGTGGGATGATGGGATGGGTGGGGGTCGTTGGTGGGATGGTGGGGGGATCACCACTGGGCTGGGCGGGGACACCACTGGGATGGGTGGGATGATGGGATGATGGGATGGGTGGGTCATTGGTGGGGTGGTGGGATCAGTGGGATGGTGGGATGGGTGGGGACAACATTGGGATGGATGGGGTCACATTGGGATGGGTGGGATTATGGGATGGATGGAATGGGTGGGATGGATGGAATGGGTGGGATGATGGGATGATGGGATGGATGGGATCACCACTGGGATGGGTGGGATGATGGGATGGGTGGGGTCACTACTGGGATGGGTGGGATCAGTGGGATGGATGGGATGAGTGGGGACAACATTGGGATGGATGGGATGGGTGGGATGATGGGATGGGTGGGATCACCTCTGGGATGGGTGGGGACACCATCGGATGGATGGGATGGGTTGGATAGGTGGGATGGGTGGGATGGGTGGGATGGATGGGATGGGTGGGGATAACATTGAGATGGATGGGGTCACATTGGGATGGATGGGATGGGTGGGATCAGTGGGATCAGTGGGATGGATGGGATGGGTTGGATAGGTGGGATGGGTGGGGTCACCATTGGGATGGGCGGGATCAGTGGGATGGATGGGATGGGTGGGATGGTGGGATGGATGAGATGATGGGATGGATGGGGTCATCAGTGGGGTCATGGGATCGATGGGTGACATGGGTGGGATCATCCATGGCAATAGTGGGATTGCTGGGATCATTGGTGGGATGGGTGGGATCAGTGGTGGGGCCATGGGATTGGTGGGTGATATGGGTGGGGTCACCAGTGGGATCATCAGTGGAATTTTTGGGATCGCTGGGATGGATGGGATCATCGGTGGGATGGGTGGGTTCACTGGGATGGGCGGGAGCACTGATGGGATCACTGGTGGGATTGGTGGGATCAGTGGGTGATATGGGTGGGAACATCGGGGGCACCACTGGTATCACTGGGATGGATGGGATCATTTGTGGGGTCACGGGATTGATGGGTGACGTGAGTGGGATCGTGGATGAGATCATCAGCGGGATCGCTGGAATCGCTGGGATGGGTGGGACAGTGGGATGAGTGGGATCATCAGTGGCATGGGCGGGATCGCTGGGATTGGTGAGATCACTGGGATGGTGGGATGGGCGGGATCATCAATGGGATGGATGGGATCGATGGCTGGCGTGGGTAGGAACACTGGTTGGATCGTCAGTGGCATCAGTGAGATGGTGGGACTGCTGGGATGGATGGGATCTTTGGTGGGACGGGTGGGATTACTGGGATTGACGGGATCACTCAGATCACTGGGATGGTGGGATGGGTGGGATCATCGATGGGGTCATGGGATCAGCTGGTGGCATCTCATCAGTGGGATTATTGCTGGCATCGGTGGGATCAATGGGATCGTTGGTGGGATGGGTGGGATGATGGGATGGATGGGATCATCAGTGGGATCTGTGGGATCAGTGGGTGACATCACCAATGGGATTGTTGTTGGCATCAGTGGGATCACTGGGATGGATGGGATCATCAGTGGGATCAGTGGGTGACATGTAACCAGAGGGATTATTGTCAGCATCAGTGGGATCACTAGGATGGATGGGATCATCAGTAGGATCAGTGAGATCAGTGGGTGACATGTCACCGGTGGAATTGTTGTCAGCATCAGTGGGATCACTGGGATCACTGGTATCGCTGGGATGGATGGGATCATTGGAATGGATGGGATGGGTGGGATCATTGGGGGGGACATGGGATCGGTGGGTGATGTGGGTGGCTTCAGCAGTGGGATCATCAGTGGGATCAGTGGGGTCAGTGGGATTGCTGGTACCACTGGGATGGATGGGATCATCAGTGGGGTCATGGGATTGATGGGTAACATGGGTGGGATCATCAATGGGATCAGTGGGATGGACGGGATGGTGGGATGGGTGGGATCATCAGTGGGGTCATGGGATCAATGGGTGACATGAATGAGGTCACCGGTGGGATCATTGGTTGAGTGGGATCACTGGGATGGGTGGGATCACTGGGATGGTGGGATGGATGGGATCATCGGTGGGATGGGTGGGATCACTGGGATCATTGGTGGCATTGGTGACATCAGTGGGATCCGTGGGATCGCTGGGATGGGTGGGATCATGGAATCGCTGGGATGGATGGGATCACCAGTGAGATGGGTGGGATCATCGGAGGATTAGGTGGCATCAGTGGCATCACTGGGGTGCTGGGGTTGGTGTGATGAGTGGGATTGCCTGGATCGCTGGGATGGAGGGGATCATCATTGGGGTGGGTGGGATCGTTGGTGGCATTGGTGGCATCAGTGGGATCGCGGGTATCACTGAGATGGGCGGAGTCATCGGTGGGATTGGTGGGATGGGTGGGATCGCTGGGATCACTGGGATGGATGGGATCATTCGTGGCATCAGTGGGATCGCCAGGGTGGTGGGATTGGTGTGGTGGGTGGGATTGCTGGGATTATCAGTGGATGGGTGGGATCACTGAGCTTGGTGGCATTGCTGGGATGGATGGGATCAGCAGTGGCATCATGGGATCGATGGGTGACATGGGTGGGATCATGGATGGGATTATTGGTGGCACTGGTGGATTCAGTGGCATCAGTGAGATCACTAGTATGGATGGGATCATCATTGGGATTGGTGGGATTGTTGGGATGGATGGATGGCAT